AGCCCCTCCTCAGCTGGCCTCCCAGGCACCCTCCGCCCTCCTGCATCACAGCCCTTGCCATCCTACTCCCTTCCGGCTCATGCCTCCCGCCACCCTCCATCTGCACATCTCCACATCAACTCAGCTCGGAGGTCACCCTCCCAGGAAGTCCTCTTATATCTGCACGCCGCCTCCACCAGTCCTCTCCCAGTGCCAGAAATCTTGTTTTGTCCCTGGGTTCCCACAGCATTCATAGCATTCTTCTAGAACATTCTCTGTTGTGTTACAATTATTTGTATACATGTCTTATCATTGATACCACACTGAGTTATTGTAACTTTGTTATTTGTAACATTGTCTTTCATTTTTGTAGTATCCTGCCAAAGGTTTGCATATAATTATTTAAAGTTTATTGAGTTGAATAATTTGTACCCTTCAAAACAATTGAGTTTTAACACTAACTCCTTAAATAGTTAGTGTTACATAACAATGGTACAAGTTTGTATCAATAAGAACTACAAATCCTGAATCTGGCCTGTCTGTTGTTACGAGGGCAGACACACCTGGACTGAGTCCTGGCTGGAGAGTCTTAGGCACGTGCGTCAGTTTCCTGGTGGATACAATGAGAACAGCAAGAGTACCAACCTCACAAGGCTGCTGTGAGGAGAAAATGAGTTAGTCGTGTAAGGCCCTAGGAAAGCACTTGGCTCGTAGGAAGCCCATGGTAAATATTAGCTATTACTCCACCTCAAGACCAACTTCACCTGGCTCTTATCCTATAGAAAGTCTGGAAAGTGGCCATGTAGGTGCTATAGTTACCAGCTCTCACCAATAGGAGGCACCCAGTCTCCAGACTTGTTATCCTTTCCCTCGGCAATGGAGCCCAAAGACAAGAGTTCAGTTTGGGGTTGGGGGCAGAGGTGTTTCTACAAATATCAAGAAAACCTCGGCAGGGTGTGGTGGCTCATGCCTGTAATCCTAGCATTCTGGGAAGCCGAGGCAGGTGGATTGCTCAAGGTCAGGAGTTTGAAACCAGCCTGAGCGAGACCCTGTCTCTACTAAAAATAAAAAGAAATTAATTGGCCAACTAAATATATATGTAGAAAAAATAAGCCAAGCCAGGCATGGTGGCACATGCCTGTAGTCCCAGCTACTCGGGAGGCTGAGGCAGGAGGATTTCCTGAGCCCTGGAGTTTGAGGTTGCTGTGAGCTAGGCTGACTCCATGGCACTCTAGCCCGGGCAACAGAGTGAGACTCTGTCTCAAAAAAAAAAAAAGAAAGAAAGAAAGAAAACCTCATATCTGAAAGGTCACACAAGAACCCCTGCACATGGCTGCGTGGGGAGGACATTTGGCAAGTTCCACTGCACCTCCTTCTCTACCCACCACCAATGTAGAAAGGGCAAAGGTTATGGTCGTGGTGGGGAGGTGTGGGATGGAGCAGAGAAGGGTGGTCAGAGAGACACAGGAAGAAGGAAGCTATTTTGTAGCTAATGATGCATTTATTGATTTTGATTCCACACTTTCTTCCAGAATTAGCTAAACTATATCCACCCATCCTAGCTTATGTGGTCACCTCCCAAACATGGGATTTGGTCCACATGAAATCACCCTCTTATCAGTTTGTTGCTTCATTCCTTCCTCTAGCCAGACTGTTAGTCTATTCCCTGAGACCTGAACAGGCCTGGCCCTTTCCCAAGCCTGCCCTGGTCCTGCCGGTACTTCTGGGTCTAGCTCATAACTCACTTCCTCCGAGAAGCTTTCCCTGATTCCTCTAGTCCAGCAAGCTCCTCCTCCACTGAGCCGCTCCCACTGGCCCTCCTATAGTACAGCAGTTTCTCCAATGTTGCCGTCATGTCACTTGCCTTCTCATGTAGCTCCTTGAAGACAGGGACACTCCTTATTTGCACCTCCTCAGAAGTCAACAAAGGGTTCTAGGTGGAGCAGGGAGATGTTGACTGTGGAATGATGAGAAGGGCCAGGTAATTTGTAGGTGTGCAAGAACAGATGGACAACTGCCTAATCTCCACCATAGACAGAGAAAAAAATACTATATTTTTTTAAATACTATATACTGAAATAAGTTACTTTGCCTGTGGGTTTGAATTGATGAGCCATTTTCTCCAATTTGGTAATCAAAATATGACAACGGAAAGCTGCCACTGTTCAGTCTTATGTAGATACTGTACATTATTCAGGCCTCAGGTCCCTTCCTCTCTCTCCAGCAGAATGTACTTTAACATTTTTACTTATAATTGACTTTATTTATTTAGCACTCGGTGAGTGAACTGGTTAGAAGTTAAATTATTGGCTGCCCACTCTGAGTTGAGCAGAGAGCTGGGCAGGATGGGCACAGCAAGGCAGATGTGACCCTGGCCCTCCAGGAATGTGAAGTCTAGTCATTTTCCTAATTTGTTCATTCAACAAAAATTTCTTACATACTTACAAAACACCAGCCTTATGGTAGATGGGCTCCAGGTACAGAAAACTAAATAAGAGGATGCAGTCTCTGCCCATGGAGGACATATTATCTGGCGGAGGAGACAGCTAAGCCAGGCTCAAGTCAACACAATCAGAGCTGCTCATGGGGTTTGACAAAGGTATCGGATACATAGAATCACTGAAACCCTTACTCTACCTCCAAAAATCTCTCACCTGCTCTGCTCTCTTCATTTCCTTTTGTGAGAAAATAAAGTATTTAATTCAATAAGACACAAGGTTGGAAAACTGACAAATTCTTATCATATTCATGCTGGGAGCAAGGAAACTCAGACTAAGACAAAAGGCATGCCCATTTTACAGACAAGGAGACTAAGGCTCCATGGCACAGGCTCAGCAACGTGGCTGGGCTCACAGGAGAGTTAGAGGAGGTACTGCTGCTCCAGCCCAAACCTCCTGGTTCTCAGGCATCCCTCTCCCCCAGTCTCCTCTGTTTCACTCTGCGTGGCACCCCGGACACCAGTCATGGGCACATAGGGCCCTCTGATGCCCGGCTGGTGCAAAGGGCCGGTCTGCTCTCCTGCAGACACAGCCTGGGATGCCGACCAGAGTGCTGCCGGCGTCTGAGCCAGGGGCTCCAGGGCAGCTGTGTGAGTGAAAAAAGGAACATGACTTATATCTGACTGATGTCTCAGAAGTATGAACAGAAGGCTATTCCTTCTTGTCCCCTGACAGGGCAATGGCTGGCGCAGCTGTGGGTGTGCGCCTGTCACATCACAGGTGTTCTGTCACAGCCCCTGTCAAGATCCAGATGGAATCCTGTCTGAGCGGATTTCTCACGCTCAAGGCTTCCCTAACAAAGCCACACTTCCCCTGGCTCCTCCTTTGCCTCTTTGGAAAGGGTGTCAGGAACAGGCAGATGAGATTTTAGGGAATCTTCCCTAAACCCTTCACTGAATCCAGAGCTGGACTGCGCAATGGTGTGATGTCATATCTTCTCATCTTTACAAACCTTTTCCTGGGGTCTTCCTGCTCCCCATTTCTTCACCTTCTATAAAAACCTGATTTTAAGAAGGGAAGAAATCAAGCCATTAGCTTTGAGAAATACACAAATAAGAACACCTTAAAATGGTCCCTGCCTTTTAACAAGGGTCAAGAAACCTGCTGCAAGGGAATGCCTGTCAAAGGCTGTGTCGGGCATTAGCTGGGACACAGACGGGAGATCTTAGAAGAGGCTCATGCTCTACTCTAAAAACCACACCGGTTAGAGGCCACTTCTTTTGTCTCTTTTTTCCAGTTCAGTCACCAGCTCCATCCTGTCCCAGGCACACGGTGCAGGAGAGAGAACAGCCCTGGCGATCAGCACATCCTCCTGGGGGATCTTTACCATCTATCTGATTGGCCACAACTTCATGTTTGGAGCTTAATTTTGCAACTTGTCTCTTTATGGTCATACATATTCTGACCCCTCATTTACCTTAAGAGTTCGTTTGAGGCTAGAAATATACCGTCATCCCCGTGCTCCTGTGTCCTGTAAGGCCAACGTGACTGTCGACAACGAATATGACTTCTGTTTGGCCTTTCAATGAGTTTTTGCATTTGATTATCAGCAGATCTGAGTTTAGAGATTTCTAGGTGCAGTGAAATGTAATGCTATACCTAGAAGGAATTGGCTCATTTAACATGTGACTACATTAGGATGGGCCCAAGCTGGGGAGGCCTGGCTCCCTCCCCACTCCTGCAGGGAACCACCTCCAGTCTGGGAAGAGGCAACTGCCCCATTACCTGGTGGTGATTCCTTATTGCCTACAAAGTGGGTGTAAACAGAAGGGGTGAGATGTTGATATGCACGAGGGAGAGGAACAGGTGCCCTCTCGTTAGAGCAGAAGCAGCAGCCGAGCTCTGTGGCCATTCTCAATAGGAAGGAAAGCAAGACCAATTAACTAAACACAGCTGGACACGGTTGAGGACACACTGGTGATCTTTATTTTGCAGAAATGAAGTCAAGATGTTGTTTACCAGTTGTCAGGTTGCCACACATGAAAGGGGCTGGAAATACAACTGAGGTCAGAGTTAGATTTACTAAACTGGAGGCCCAGAAATCAAGGCTCCTGATTACACCAGACAGGTGGAGAGAGAGCTGCAGAGGGGGCATTTCTATGCTGTCACCTGCTGCCCCTGTGGCTCCCCGGCCAGTGTGAGTCCAGTGCTTAACACAGCTGCTGCTTTCACGTAGTGCAACGTGGGCTGATGTGCTGAGTTGAAGACAGTTCAGCCTCTGGAGCTTTAAAAAGATCCACCACCCACCCCTTTTGACTGGGACAGTCCTACGAGTCATGTAGCCAGGCTCCCTGGCCACTTACCATGGGTCCGAGTGCTGAGACCTCACTGATAAGTGTATTTATTCCAAATTTAGGTGTCACTTCCAAGCAGCACAGCGGGGCAGGGGATAACAAGGAGATAGCTTGGTTTTAAGTTTTGTTCAGAACACACCTTATGTGAATGACCTGGCCCTGGAGGGCAGCTACTGTCTCCCACTAAAACAGAGATGAAACCTAGCACAGCTTCGCTTTGTCTCCATAGCTCGGGAACCTGGCTCGGAGCCGCTCCTCACCGCCAGCTGCTGGACTGGGCAAGATTTTAGGCAAGGCGTGGCCACCCACCAGGTAAGTGAAAACCCTGCAGAGAAGTACTGCTGGGGAACCCACGAGGCATCTCTCTGAGCTGATCCCACCTCTCGGGCACTGGCGTTGGGGCAGCAGAGTGTGAACATGCCTGCAGAGAACGACACAGACAGTGAGCAAGACCCAGCTTACTTTCAGACATGGCATCCAGGGGACAAAACATCAGGCTGTCACTGAATCACCACGGTATCATGTGGGTGTACTCCAGAGAAAACCAAAGAGCAGAGAAAAAATAGCTCACAAAAGCAAAAAGTAGTCAATCTAAGAGAGCTGTTTCAATTTAAATATTTCTCTACTGAATTGATCCAAATTGGATGAGCATTAATATCTCTCCCTAAGGCTCTCACTCCAGGTGGCTAATTGGGCAGAACAAAAGCTTGGGCCACTTACTGGCATTAACCCCAAGCCAGACGCCACTTAGCGTGCCCGCACTGCGCCACCTGCCCGCAGACCCACCTCAGCAAGCGAATATAATGATCATCTCAGGGGGGGGGAGGCTCCCCAGATAAAAAAGACGGGGTCCCAGTTCAGATCTGCTGATGCTAACGCATGGGTTAGATGAGCCTAAAATAGTATGCCTGAGCGTCCTGGGAGAACGACCAGCCAGGCTTCATTGGGCAGTGGACACCATGTGGTCAAACCAAGTGCCCTCCAGGAGAGGAGGACACCCCTGTAATTACACTGCAGACCTCACTCTTGGGCTTTCTGCTGCCACCGATGCAGCACTCAAGTCCACCCAGCCTGGTAGGGGAGGCCTGGCTGCTGCGGCAGAGCCACGGGTTCCCTGCAGAGGGCGCCCTCGCCCCCGGGCGGCAGCAAGAACCAGCAGTGTGGGGACCACCTTCCTGAATGTGAAAGGCTCACAGTCTAGACAGGTGGTTTCTATTTTTACATGTCTGCAGGAAGCATGTCCACAGAAGTTGATGGCAGACATGACTTCCTTTGCTACCGCTCATCTTTTGAGAATTAAGGTCATATGCAGCGGTTATCTGTGCCTCCCACCAGCCTTTGAGTTACAGGCTGTAATGTTATGACCTTTGTGATAGGACTAGGGAGGGGTGGGGGAGGGATAAGGGCCTGGGGAAACCTTTTGCAGACACCCCTGTCCTCTTCCGAGGCAGAGGCACCATCACCCAGGGTGGACATGCCGATACTCAGCTGCTCTTGGTAACTGAGCCGGGTTTCGGGGGACCAGGGTCCAGGGAGAGGAGGAGGGGAGGAAGAAAGGTGTAGAGAGGGGCCGTGGGGCGTTGCACATTTAGGGAGCTTGTGTGACTCCTCATGAAGCTGGGCCCTCACTGTGGTCAAGCAAGAGGGGCTGGTGAATTCAGAGGGGCTGTGATGATGCTGGACAGTGATGACGATTTTGAGATGGCCACTTTCCCAAGCTCTCCAAACACAAGAGTAACTTGGCTGAAGGTGTAAGGAGTGCCCTAGGCCTTCAGAGAGTGTCTGGCCAGGACCACAGCATCCCCACACAGTATGTGTTACCTGGGCAACTCCTTGGCCACCTCAATAGGAAGAGACTCCTGTATCTGACAAGGAGGTGAGAGTGTCCACAGATGCCCTTTAAGTCACATGCTTGGAGAGGGTTTAAACTTGCTAGCTGGGAACCAGATACATACCACGATTTTAACAATCATTTTTAGTGCTTAAATCACTTCATACAGGCCTGACACTGAAGGCCCTGCCCTCACAATTGTAGACACTCAATACAAGCTTCACCCTGAAGTCCCCTGCCATCACAGGTGCAGACACACCACACAGGCCCCACCTTGAAGGACTCTGCTCTCACAGGTGTGGACACTTACTATAGGACCCTCACTGAACATCCCTGCTCTCACAAGTGCAGACCCTGAGTACAGAACCCTCACTGAAGGCCCCTCACCTCACAGTGGCAGACACTCAGTACAGTCTGCACCCTGAATGCTGCTGCCCTCACAGGAGCAGACAATGAGTACGTGACCCTATCCAAGGCCCCTGACCTCACCAGTGCAGACACTGAGTACAGGACCCTCACTGAAGGCCCCAGCCCTCACAGGTGCAGACACTCAATTCAAGCCTCACAGGGAAGGCCCTGTCCTCACAACTGCAGACACACAGTACAGGCCCACACGGATGGGCCCTGTCCTCGCAAGTGCTGACTATCAGTACAGGCCCCACGCTGAAGGCCACTGTCCTCAGTGGTGCAGACACTCAGTACAGGCCCCATCCTAAAGGGTCCTGCCTCCCAGGTGCAGACACTCACTAGAGGCCCCACCGTGAAGGCTTTGTCCTCACAGGTGCAGGCACTCAAAACAGGCCCCAACTGAAGGCCCCTGACCTCACGGGTGCAGACGATCAGTAGAGACCCCACACTTAAGGCCCCAGCCTTCAGAGATGCAGATACTCAGTACAGTCTACACTCTGAATGCTGCTGCAAATAAATACTTCAAAGTATATGTGGACACTAACGATCTATCCTAAGCTTACATCCATAGTAGGGAAGAATGAGAAAAATTGTGAATAGGAACCCGGTTTATGGAAGAGTCAGATGCTTGTGAGTATTGAGTAAAGGTGCTGCCGTTGTAGGTGATATTCAAGATGGTCCATACAATGACAGTGTGTCTGACTTCCCGCACGCAGGTGCATGTCACACCTTTCCTCCATATCAGGGCTCAGATTGATGTAGCACTGCCAAGTGCTACTGTCTGTAGTTGGCAAATAACCTGACTCATTCGATCCAATTGTTCTCCTTCCAAAGACATATGAAAAGAAATTGATTATCTCGTCAATTGATCTTTGTTACCAGGTGTTTAGTTTGAGATTATGAAGTGTACCTGTGAGAGCATCCAAGTCCCAAACACTTCAGATCCCAGCTGGCTGGTCTGGTGGTGGGACCAGGGCACAAGACCTTAAATTTTATATGCACTTGACCCAGTCCATAGAATGTAAGCATCTCCTGGAAGGAGGGGCAGTGTCTTCATCCTCTTTGAAACTCTCCCCTACCCACAGACCCAGTAGAGAGCTTTGCACACAGTAGGTGCTCAATAAGCAACTGAATGTTCTGCCCTGCTTGTTGCAGGGACCACACCATCCAAATACTAGTGATAGTCATCAATGACATTAAAGAGTCTGTGTGACTCAGACTAACCACATCTTTAAATCCTGGCCTGATTTAGCTCAGATTTGGCTTCAAAACTGTTCTTCATAGCCTGGTTTCCAGACCGTTGAGCAAACAGAGGTCTGCAGGACACCTTCTGTGTGCCTAGCACAGAGATTAGTGCTGAGGATGTAAAAATGATCATGACAATGTGTTCTCAACATAGAAAGGTGAACAAGTCGCCATGGGACAGGTGACAGGTGTTAGAGGCAGAGCAGGTCTCTTAGAAGAAGCCTAGAGGCAGAAGGCTCCCCAGGAGGTGAGATTGGAGTTGGTTCTGCTAGACGGGAGTTTGCCATGCTTGGTGAGAGCCGTTCCAGTGGGGGACAGCAGTGTGCTGAGTGACTGGAACAGGTGAGGGCTGTTCCAGTGGGGGACAGCAGCGTCCTAGGCCAGGGCAGGTGTGAAGGGCAGCAGGGGATGCTGTTTGACTTCACGAGCACAGCTTGACAACAAACTATGGATATAAAGGACTCCCCCAGTTTGGATATAGTATGTTATTCATATTTTCATGGAATTTATACAAAATAGTGAATCTTAGACATTTTGGGGGACATGGAGCCCTCTGAGAATCTATCTTTAAAAAAGCAAACTCTGCCCCCTCCCCCTTAAAGCCATACAGGCTCCTGTTGAGAAATCCTCACGTGGAGCCTACAGCTATGGCCAGATACCCATGGGCTATACTCCCTGCCGCCTTTTACCCAGGGATGTGCTGGGAGGGTGAGATGCCCTCTAGCTGATGGTCTGTGGAGAGATCAACAAAACCAACACGTACAGCTAGAAAGAACTCATGTGTTGACATACACAACAGGCAAGATTAGCGCCTGGAGACCTGACGTACGTCCTCTCCCGCCAGTCATCCGTCCTGTCCATCACCTGCCTCCTCTGACCTTTCAGTCCCCCACCTGTAAATAAAGAGGGGTTGAGGATTCCTGCCCTCTCTCACCAGGGACATGAGAATTAAAATCAAGTGAGGTGATAAGGGTGAAAGTGCTTTGAATTCTAAACCTTCTGAAAAACCATGCATTATCATTATTAGAGAAAATATTGGAGAACTAATGATAGCATCACAGGGAGAAAATGGCATTTTACTACAACTCAAGAACAAAATCTCAACAGGAAAAAAACAAATACCCAATACGGAGAGAATAAATAGTGTCTGTCATTTGTTATAAGGTATTGTAAATATTTTTTTATTTATTTTTTTTTTATTTTGGCATATTATGGGGGTACAGATTTTAAGGTTTCAATAAATGCCCATTTCCCCCCCTCAATATTTTTTACTTTTATTTGTTCATTATACAATCTCAGAAAGGAAAAAGAAAAGGAAAGAAAAAGACCCTCCATACAATTCCAGAGGAAAGCTGAGAGCTGTCTGCTTTATGGAATCAGGTCCTCCCAGAGCACTGGCCGATAGAGCAGGTGCTCGGCAATGTTTGTTTTGATCACCAAAGGGCGTGCTGACCTTGGAAAGACTCTGCTGGCGTCAGAGGCCAAGTGGGAATGAGCCAGTCAGGCCACTCTGGAGCCATGAGGCCCCCCTCAGCATGTGTCTGCACAGGGGTGGGAGCCTCCCAGCTGGGCCCCACTGCCACCCCACCTGGTTCCACCACCCTCTGCTTTTTCCCATCACCCATAGCTTTGCTATCTGACTTCAGTCAGTGAGGACAGTACAGGACAAGTCCGAATGACCTCTGTGGAGAGCCGGGTAAGCCAGGCACATGCAAGGCCAGCTATAGTCCTATACATCTTTGAAGGCTCCCTCACTGTGCACGTCCACACCCAGGAGCTGTGCCTGGGAGCTGAGCGAGACCCTGTGTATATTACAGTAGAGAAGACAGACACACAGGACAATGAGGGGACAGAGGCAACCTCTGGGTGGAAATACGGAGGGTGTCTCAGCAAGCACCAGAGAGGGCTGGGGGCTGAGCACACAGAGCCCTGCCAGACTCCAGGGTGACGGGAGCCCTGTGGCCTTTGATGCCCGGGAGGTTTAAGCACATGCATTTTAGGAAATTCCTCAGCAGTTACATGGAGGATGGAGGGGGAGCTAAGGTCCAAGGCAAGGATAACATCAGAGACTCTTGAAGTAACACAGTGATGTGCCAGAAGAGCCTGGAACTCCAGCGGATGGAAAAGAAGTAAATGAGAAGTATTTAGGAAGTAGAGTTTGGACATGCGGAGAAGGAAAATCCTTGGCGAGAAACAGACCTGACTCCAACTCACTGCCCTGCTGTCAGCAGCCGTGTGTGGTCTGCAGATTGCTTGACCTCCATTTTCCATCTATGAAATGGGCCTCATCGAACAGGAGTGTTGTAAGGACTGGCAAAGAATGCGAGTCAGAAGTTTAACCTGGCAGTCATTAGATGGTAGCAACTCGTGCCAAAGGGTGGGGTCCAGTTTGAAAATAAACAGAAAAAGAGAATGAGCAGGGGTTGGATGCTATGGAAGCCTAGTGTTGACAACCGGGCTTGCACATATACGAGCTGTTTGCACCACACCTTCACACAGAGGGGCTCCAAATACGGGCACATCCAGGCCACCTAGAACAGAGGACCCACATCTGTGCTGCCTCCAAACCCCAGACTCCCAGGAAAGGAGGGTATCCCCGCTCAGGCTTCTCACAGCTGAGGTTGGTTTCACTGACACTGAATCGCCCTCGTTCCTTTATGCCAACCCCACAGTCAGACGCTGGGAGCTCAGGTCACAGGGGCACACAGCCAGGCACACTCACCCGAGAGGCCTCGCCACCCGCTGCTGTGGCGCACCTGCTCCCACTCTTCCCTTGTACCCTCTCCAGCACACTCCTCGAGCCTGTCCAGGCCAGGAGCTCAGTTCAGAGAGGCCTCAATAAACCACATCATTTCCCCTGTAAAGTTCTGGGGAGAAGATCCGGTCCCAACAGAGCTTGGCAGGGCAGCACTTTCACTGTGACAAGCCACCAGCAGGCCCCACTGGGCTGGAAATTCATCACCACATGGAAAGGCAAAGGCCAAAGTCGTTTCCGTTCACCAGGTATTTGCTACGTCACTTGTTTCCTATTTCGGTTCTGTAAAAATTTCCCCCTGGGTGAGAGCGCCCAGGCAGCTTTGTTGTGAAAGATGGTTCATAGGCGGGGCTTTCTTTTCTTTCATGACATCACTCAGTTTAGGTCCCCATGTGTGTCAGAAAACTAAAGCCCAAGTAAGTGCACAGTTCTCCTGGGATCACAGAGAAATGCACAAAAGAAAGGAGGGGTTGGGTGGGTAGCAATGAAAGGAGAGGAGAAAGAAAAGAAAAATCATGGCCAGACCCAGATAGACATGGACACAGGTGCTTTGCAGAGCAAAATACTCAGGAAAGAAACTTCACCTACTCATTTCACTGGATGTGACTTATTATCTATGTGTGCATATTTTAAAAGCTCAAATGAATAATTATCTGACAGATATAGATTTGTTATTCTCGGTTTGGTTTATACCATCTTGTTAGAAATATTCATATGTTTTGCCCACACCGGCAGAGGCTCTACACCAGCTGAATGTTTTCATATGCTGCAGGCAGCTGGGATGAATGGGAGGTGGTCACAGCATTGCCCCCCACTGTGTTTAAATAAATGCTCAGCATGAGTTGACAGTTCATAGAATTGTGGCCTGCTGGCTTTTTAAATAATTGGCAGCAACACTGGAGCCACATGCCCAGATGACACTAATGGGCTGTCCCTGTGGACTTGGACCACTTTCCACAATCCTCACCCCTCCCTATCCCTCACTGCACCCATTCCCTTACCTGCCTGGGACTCTGAGCCCACAGTGAGGTGGGCTCTGATGGGTATAACCAGATAGAGACAGCTTTGCTCCACACTAGTGAGTTATTTATCCCTCAGATATACAGAAATAACCAGGCATCTCTCCAAATTCAGAGAAAAGCAGAAGACATTTAAAAACAGAGCAGGGAGTTCTAGTTCCCAGGCCTTAAGATTTAAGTCCTAGTTTCTGTGTCCTACATAGTTAACCGGCCATCGGCAAGGGGGAAGCACACCCACTTCTCACCGCCCAGGCTTTCCTTCCGCGCTTCACTCACAGGCCCCACGTGGAGAGAAACCAGGCTGTGGCAGTGGGAGGTGTCTGGTGGTTGGAAAGGGCAGAATACAGAGTCGTACTCCAGAGCAGGCACCTGTTGGCAGCATGTGAAGTCAAAGACTAGCGCCAATTGCAATTTTTAATAGTTGTTTTCTAAATAACAGAAATGTGCCTTAAGCCCCAATACAGCTTCACTCAAATATCACATTCTCATGAAACACAAGTTCTGCTGTATAAAAGATTTGCCTCAAGAGCTACTATTGCTGTCTTTAACATGGACGGGGGTGGCTGTGAGCAGTTTAAGTGCCCAGAATAGCAGGCCAGGGGCAGCCCTCCTGGTGGCCTAAGCCCACGTCCCCACCCGACACGGTAAATGACCAGGAATGGGCACAGGACAATTCTGGCATTGTAGGAAGCATAAGTAAAATGCTGGAGTCAAGTTGAGTTATGACTGACTGAGTCCCACAGGTGACATTTACTCTGCCCTGCTGCTCAATCACTCTATGGAAGAAAACCATCCATTAGAGTCATCTGTTTAGATTCCATAGCAGGCTAAACCCAACCTTTCAAACTTTAGGGAAAACGTCTGCTAACGAAGTAAGTCAGTGCTTCCCAACCCATGTGCCACAAAGGAGTCACAGAGAGGCCACAGTGCTGACCCTCCCAGCTCTGAGTGTGGCTGACATGGCCTGGGTGGGCCAGCCACCCTTTGGCTGCCTTAGTTTACCTCATGGGGTGATAGAACTATTATCATTTGCTGTGTGTGTTATGGTGTGAAAAAGTCTGGAAAGTATCGCCTTAGGTCAAAATTCTCACAGAAATCCCTAACACTGACATTGCAAGTGGCGATTAGCTAGTCCCTGAAGCAGGGCCAGCAATTTGACATTTTGATGCAGTTTGGGTGCACTTTATTGTAAAACCATTTTTTTGACGTTCATATTTTAAAAAACAATCTGCAGCTCAGCCTCTGGGCTGTTTCCCCTGCTAATTCCCTCTCAGTTACGCCAGGCTAGTGGTGCCGTGCCATCTGGAGACATCACCATGGGCCATCATGGCTGACTCTGTATGGGCCACTCTTCTCTTGGGGACTGATTCCTGCTCCCTCCTCCCCCAGAAAGAGCCTGGTGTCTGTGGCGACCCTGGAGCATCTGGACCTGCCCCAGGAGCACGTTGAGCCCATCCTCCACAGCCCTGTGGTGCTGACCCAGGGCCCCAAGGCCACCAAGAGACACCTCTTCCTCTTCAGGAACTGGCTGGTCATCGCCAAGCAGAGGTGAGTCACAGACCGTCACTGCCTTCCTTTCTGCTAAAACTCAATTTCTTTCCAAAACCTGAAAAATGGCACTGCAAGGGACCCTGGAGCCCTGGCCTGGGCCTGCCCCACGGCATTTCCAGGCTGCAAGGCTAGGACTGCTCAGCCCTCCCTCTCCCTCACTTGACATGTGAGGCTGAATTCCTGCAATGACATCACATATCACATGGGCAGTGGGTAGAAAGCTGGGATGAGAGCAGTGTAGAAAATCCATTGTTTACAAAGAAGTGCTAGGTGAACTTGACCTTTTGTTTTGTGCATGTGTTCACAGCAATAAATTTGAAATCAGAAATTTAGAAACTTAATAATTGAGTTAATATTGCCTATGTCATTTTTCTCTTTAGGAAGTTCTGCAATTACACTTCAATATTTGCATTAGATTAGGGAAGGATGAGTCCACAGAAAAACAATATTAATTTTCTTGCCTGTAGAACAACTATATATGCACTTGCAATGTCTCTCTTTGATTTCTTTCCTATTCCCTAGAATATACACACATACACACATGCATATTTACATGTATGTATGATTTATCTGTGTTCTGAATACATAACCAATCTAACTCATCACAATTCTCTGAAACAGGTGTTCCCACCCAGCATATTTTTAAAACTGCCCACGTAATTAATTGTAAGGTCATTGATGGGGCTCAGATAAATTCCTCTTTTCTGGGAGCTCAGAGTTATTAACTGGACCCAGGAAAAGTTTGAACTCTCCCAGGTTGCTGCCTGGATCTGTGCTAGGCAGGGGTGGGGGAGGAGGAGGCCAGGTTGCCCTCACCCTACCCAACCCCCTGCTCTCTTACAATTTTCTTTATATTAACGAAACGAGAAATGGGACCAAGGGTCCCTAGTAGCTAGGTAGCTGCTTTACCTCCCCTGGGGGCAGGGGGCCTGGGAGCATGTGAGGATGCCCCTCGTGGAGGCAGTGGAGTGAGGAAGCCACCAGTGGCCAGCAGCCCTCCCTCGTCACCTCCCTGCCCATGCACCTCTCCCCATGGATCTTCCTTCCTGAGGGTTGGGAAGCCTAAAGCGAATCAAAAGCCACCTCTGCTCGCAGTGAGGCCGGGGTAGTGCGGGATTTCCAAGATGCTGTCACAATCATGGAGCAGCAGCAGGAGGTGCAGGACAGCTGGCTGCTGGCTTTGGGTGCAAGAGGACGTGCTGAGTGTGCAAGGGACACGGTGGCCCCGAGGACAGCGGGCCAGGCTGTGTAAGCCCTCCCTGCAAACCCAGGCTCCAGTGGGAAGTCCCAGGGCCATAGCCACATGGCAGAAGGTTACCATGGAGGCTGGGCAGGGTTCACCTTCCTGAGATGAGCTGTGAGCACCAGCTTCGAGGTCCTTTCATTTCCACAGCAAAACTCAGAGGGGTCACTAGACCACGCTAGGGGCCAGGCCCAGGGGCAGGGACATCCCCACCACCGCGGGCTCTTTCCTAACAGCCCCTTCCAGCCATAGCATCGTCAGCTCATTCATTCATGTTACAGATGAGGACAGTAAAGCTCAGAGAGGTGGAGCATCTCCCCACGTCCCACGCAGCAGATGGGGAAGGACACAACACACACATGCCTCCTGTTTCCCCAGGTACAGCACCTGCCACACGCTGCCCAGATCCTGCAGGGGAACTGTTGCACTCCAGCCCTGTCTCCCATGGGTATTTTTCAGGAAGAAATAGGCCCAAGCAATGTATGGCAGCCTTCCAAAAATCCCACACTGGTCTAAAATAGGGGGAGGATAAATACATTAGGTGTGTGTGGTTCATCAGAGAAGCTGCCAGGTCCCCTGGGGAAAGTGTTGAGGTCCCAGTCAGCACCAGTCAGTGCAGGATGAGAGCAGGGCCATGGGAAGGACCAGAGTGTGCAAGAATGATGCCGCCTCTAAGGGAAGAGGGAAAGGGCAGGTTGCCTGTAACGTTATTTCTGTTTTGTGGAAAAAGAACATTTACATATTTTTATATTTTTGTTTAATATCCCATGAAAATGTCTATTTTAAGCTTTAGGGGGAAATCTGCCACATTTTAAACAGCTTCTCACACCTACCCACCACGATTATTTTCTTAGATGCTTAGAGATTTCAAAGAATTCAAAACCTCTCTTCTACCCCCGCCCGCCATATCCCAGCCAGGGATGTGTTGTTTTCAGAGACGTGAGAAAGCCCCAAGGAGACACAAACAGCAGCTGGGGAAATCCTGCCCGCAGCTCGGGAGGAAGACTTGTCACAGGCTCTACCCGAGTCCCTCGAAAGGGACACAGAGCTCACTGCAGGGCTGTGGCCTGAACCACCCTCACTTGTCTTCAAAACTCCCTGAATCTCTCCTCAAAAAAGGCTCCTCTTGCTCACCTGAAGTCAGGATGAAAGGAAAAGATTGGTTAGGGAAGAAACAGGCAGGATAGAGATGGGTGGTTAGTTTCCAGCTGCTACTGAGCATTGTGGCACTGTGGCCACTCGAGAGGCACATGGCCACCCTAAAGGCACACGGCCACTGCAGCTGAGACCTCTCCAGGCCTGGCCACTTGACTTCCCGTGGACACAGTGCACTATTAGTGGCCAGAAATTGCACATTCTTTCACACCACTGCTTAGAAAGGACGAGGATCCCATAAATCCAGAATTGGGGTGACAGACCTTTCTGAGAAGATACAGTAGAGTCCACACACTCTGTGTGGCCCAGCCCTAGGAATCACCTTCACTCCTCAAATGGACCTTGCTCCTTCTGGCCTCCATGCCTCTGCCTGGGCTGCCACATGGGAGGCTACACTCCCTCTTCCTGTGGCCAGCTTTTCCATGCTTGGGGACATGGCCCCAGAGTAGTGGATCAAAGCACATACTCTGAAACCACAGTGCCAGGTTGAATCTCAACTCCACCATTTACTAACTGTGACTGAAGCTCTATGTGCTTTGTTTCCTTATCTGTAAAATGGGCAGAAAAATAGTACCTTCCTCACAGGATGGATTAGGGTGAGGATTAAAAGAATTATGATATGTGCAGAGTTCAGACAGAGCTGGCACATGCGATAAGCACTGAAGCAGAGTCCGTTTCTCATGTGCTTTCCAGAAAGAGTTCTGAGATCCCACCTGCATTGCAAAAAGGGAAGAGAGGAGGAGAAATTTCTATCTCCTCCACCAGCCTAGAATTTAATGGTCGGTCATTTATTAGCTGATACTGCTGGCATGGGTCCAGGGTCTGTTCCACTATACCCTGAGTTGTGAATCAGAGTCCAAGTTCTCAAAGACTTTACAGTGTACTAAGAAAGTTTAAAATCTGCCAGCCTTGGTGGACAAAGGGAAGGAATGATGACTGACTCTTGAGTTTATTGTAGTTTGTGTGTTGTTTTTATTCCAAAGAGCGAAACTTTTGGGTGTTCAGGAAATTTATCCAATTTAATCTAATTTCAGTTTAGAGTAGAATCTCATACTATATGTTTGCAGGATGTGCTTGGTACCGTATTCCAATATGTGCAATGAGGAAGTATTTTAAAGAATTTTTACTGTATTTGTACAGGATTAAATATCTGATTTTCAAAGTTTTGTGGAATTAGATGGCACGTGGTTATTTTCAGGTCTGTGTGATTGGTTTTAGTCAGAGAAAATCTAGAAGAGCCTCCACAATCCATTGACAAGAACAACACACCCTTTGCCTTCACAGCCAAGGGGAAATGTTTTTGGTTGCATTTTCCTATAAATAGTAATGAGTGACAAAGAAGTATTTCATAACTTGCCCAAATGATTTTGAAATATCCTTTTACCCTTGAAGCAATAGCCATTCACAATTGCTAATAACTATTCCCAAGACTGGCTACAGAATTTGGAAGACTAGGCCCTTTTTTCAAAAAGTAATAGCAATTTGAATACAGCAAGAGCAGAACATTAAACCAAGCACAGGGGCCTCTGAGCCTGGGGACCTGTGGGACTGCACAGGTCACCTGTCCATGAAGCTGGCTTTGGCTGCCTCCTCTTATGGACTTAATGTATTATAAATCATCGAATATATTTAAGGGTCTTCCAAGTTGAAGGCCTTTATTTGATATGTTTACCAACATTACCAACATTTGCCAATATTTTTAACAACATTCACTTTGCTTCCCACAAGTTCTTATTTCTTTGCCAAAACTCATGTTTTGTAATAAAATAGACATAACCTCAACATTATTTTTAAAAATGAAAGTTACTTGAGTGCATTTCTCACATTTTCTGTGAATCTAAATAAATGGCTTTGTTTTCAGGCTGAAAATGTGAATTCTGTGTAGATTTTACTAGGTGCTCTCATCCACATGTTGATATAACCTGCCTTTCTCATTTTATAAAAGCTAAACCCTCAACCAGCCAGATTTTGAAGAATTTAGGTTGCCTGTTCCTGTTGGTTAAAATAAGAGGTACCTATTTATTTCCCACACTTTGGGGAAATTTCCTCATCAAAACCTATCCAAAATAGCCATTTGGAAAGAGAAATTTTAGGGCTCTCCCAGAGAGTGAACCTGCCGAACATTACAAATATAACAGTTTGTTCTTACCTTGTGCCGGACACTGTTCTAAACCCTGTACCTGCAATAATTCATTTAGTTCTCACAAAAATCCCCATGAGGTAGGAAATAAGACCCCAGCACTTACTTCTGCCACAGTCTATTCTTCAGAGCAAGTCAACAAGTTTGGTCTGTACACAAGAGGAGGAAAATTAAGCTTTATCTCTTGAGGGAAGAAAAGACCAAAAGAATTTGGGGGCATACATATTTTAAGACCATCACACTGACATATAGATTATATTTAAAACCAGGAGACTTAGTTTGATCACCAAAGGAGTGAGTGTGGAGAAAAAAAGGACACCAAGGATTGAGCCCTAGGCTACTTCAGTACCAAAAGGTTGTGACTGCTGAGTTTGGACAGGCAGTCGAAGCACAGCACTTACCCACCTGCCCAAGATCACCAAACTGGTGACCCAAGTTCAGCAAATAAAAAGGCTCATG